TGGACATCCCCCAAGGTCTCTTGGACTGCAAGAAGGCACACGCTGGGCTGATGGGCCCTCCTCCCCCGAGTGCACGAATTTCATGCACCAGGCCTCTAATATATATATTTCCAGTTGGCTTTCTGAAGGAAATGTAGGAAACACGGTTAGTTGGCCTTGAAAAACAGAATTTTTATCTCTATGCTTACTAGTATAGTAGCAGTTGATATTATAGTATTTCCTTGAGAGGATATATGGTAGTTCTTTTAAATACTAAAGAGACCATTTTTGGCCAGGAAAATATTTGGTTAGCCTCATCAAAAAGCTTTGAAAATGAAGTTTGAGAGGGGAGAAAATATTCCGGATAGACAGTAAAGTAGCATCCTGTGGAGTAAAATTAGTGGCACAGAAGATTAGAGAAGCATGTGCCTATGACTCCCAGAACACAACGAACAGATGCTGAAGATTCCTGACCTTTCCACATAATAAAGGCTTAGAGTAATCTTGAGAAAAGTAGAATAGATGCAGTTTTTTTGGGTGCCACTGAGAATTGGTGAGAAGAGTTCATGACTGGGCATTTGAAGGTTTATTAGAGGCACTATGTTAAGTAACCATTCCTCATTTACTTTATAAAAATGTTATGAAGTAGATAATGTACAGCACTTACTCCCAGTTTTAATACAGAAACTGTGACTGAAGACAGTTAAGTATTTAGAGCTAGTAATGAACTTTTGATGGGTAACAGGATAGTGATATAATTTAATTACGTTGTTTTCTAGTGTACTCTTCCTCTCATATGCTATAGCTGACTTAATCCTTGATTTTCCAGGATAGCAGAGAGAGTGAGCGCACTCTCATTACCTCCCTCACACAGAATTTGGGAGTGAGTGAGTCATGGTTACAGTTGGCACCAATATATTTTGCTACTCTGTTAGCCACATGACAGTTCTGCTCTGGACAAAGGACAACAAAATATAACAAGTAGTCATTCCCTTCCTCCAGCTTCTGATTTTAGCAATAATTCTTCATTGTACTAAATGATCATTAGCCATATGTGGTGTCACTCATTTAGGTTTTTATTTTTTTTTAAATAAATTTTTATTGTTCATATTATTACAAATGTCCCCCTACCCCCAACCATTGCTCTCCTCCACCAGGTTCCCACCCCACCTTCTGCCCTTTCCCCACCCCCCATTGTCCTCATTCATAGGTGCACAGTTTATCTTCAGTCTCTTCCCACATCCCCCTCTCCCCTTTTCCCCAAGAATCATCAGTTCACTCCCTTTCCATACCTCTGATTCTATTACATTCAACAGTTACTATTGTTCATCAGATTTTTTTTTTTTTAATTTCCTTGGTTTTTAGATTCACTTGTTGATAGTTACGTATTTGTTGTTCATAATTTTTACCTTTATTTACTTTCTCTTCTGAAAGAACCCCCTTCACCAATTCATATAATTCTGGTTTGGTGGTGATGAACTCCTTTAGCTTTTTTTTATTAGTGAAGCTCTTTATCTGACCTTCGATTCTGAGTGATAGCTTTGCTGGATAGATTATCTTTGGCTGTAGGTTCTTACTATTCATCACCTTGAATATTTCTTGCCATTCCTGTCTGGTCTGCATGGATACTGTTGAGAAATCAGCTGACAGTCGTATAAGTGCTCCTTTATAGGTAACTACCTGCTTTGCTCTTGCTGCTTTTAATATTCTCTCTGTCTTTTGCTCTTGGAATTTTAATTATGATTTGTCTTGGTGTGGTCCTCTTTGGATTCCTTTTGTTTGGAGTTCTGTGCGCTTCCTGGACTTGTAAGTCCAATTCTTTCACCAGGTGGGGGAAATTTTCTGTCACTATTTCTTTCAGTATGTTTTTGATATCTTGTTTGCTCTCATCTTCTGGGACCCCCATAATTCTGATGTTGGTTTGCTTGAAGTTGTCCCAGAGGTTTCTTACATTATCTTCAATTTTCTGGATTCTCTTGCCTTCTTGCTTCTGCAGAGGAGTGTCTTCTGGCTCTTTATGTTCCAACTCTTTGACTTGATTCTTGCGATCTTCCATTCTGTTTTTAGGACTCTGTATAATATTTTTTATTTCAGTCAATGTATTCTTTATTTCTTGTTGATCCCTTATCATTTCTTGTTGATTCCTTATTCTAGTTGATCCCTTTTCATATCCTCATAGGTCTTATCCATCATTTCTAGGAAATTCTTGAAAAACATTATAAGCGTAAATTTGAACTCTATATCCAGTCGCTTTTTGTCCTACATTTCTTTTGTTTGTGATCTATTTCGTCTCGGCATTTTCGCAGCTTTCCTGAGTTGGTAGCTTTAAAAGTCTCTGTGTTCTGCTTGGATGGGACGGGGTTTCAGGATGAAGCCTACAGCCTTGGCTTCCTCAGCCCCACCCTATGCGGCTCCTGAGACTCAGGGTCCTTCAGTACTCGCTGCTAACACCTCTGAGAGAAAGGTGCTCTCGATTTTCGCCTGCTGCCAAACAGTCTATGCTCTCCCCCAATGAGCCCGGTATTGGGGTTCAGTTTAGTTGGAAGTGGAGTTGGAGGTGGCGTTCGGAGCAGTCAGGAGCCCCAGTCTCCTTCCTGCCAGGGCAATCCCGGGGCACAGCCAACCGTCCCTTCTGTGTGCACAATGTGCGCGCCTCCGGGACCTCCTTTAGCCGCTCCCCTGGGGCTCCGCCTTACAGCCCAGCTCCCTCTGTGTGAGCCTGGGTCCCCGGGGTCTGGCCTAGAACTGGGGTTCAGAGCAGTCAGAAATGGGGCTCAACACAGTCGGAGCTTTTATCTCCTTCCCGCTAGGGAACACCAGCCAGGCACTCAGCCTCCCTCCTCCCTGGCTCCGTCCTCTCCGCGCTTGCTGCACGTCTCCGTACCTCAGGCTTTTCCAGCTCCTCCGCGCTTCCTTCTGGTTTTCTTCTTGCTTCTCGTTGTAGAATTTCCAGTCAGTCGACTTTCCTGAAGTTCTGGGTAATGTCCATTTTATATTTTAGTTGTATTTTATTGAAATTGTTGTGTGCGGCTGTGGCCAGGTGTTTACCTGTCAGCCATCTTGGAACAACCTCCCATTTAGTTGTTCATTGTCTACCTGCATCTCCACTGTCTGCTCCATCAGCACAGCCATCTTGAGTTTTGTGTAATCTCACTTCAGGTCAGTCACAGCGCCGCTCTAGTTTCTTATGTACTTGCCAATCTCTCTCGTTTTATTTTCTAGTTTCATCCCTTGGATCTCCCCTCCTTGTCTGCCTTCTATTCATAATGTCCCTTCTGGAAAGCTTCCTCAAGGCAGAGTTTAGGTACTTTGTCTTTGTGTGTTGATTTTTTTCAAGTATCTGATGATTTTTAGTTGTCTGTTGATATTATGAGTGAAGGTTTAGGTACTAGACCAGGGGTGGGCAACGTTCAGCCCAACAGGCCCGGAAATCATTTGGTCTGGTCCTGCCTAGGCATTAGGGGTGAGTTAATTAAATGTTTTTACTAAATCTAGCAGGCTAATTTTTACATTGATAATTTTGCATGGTTCATGAATGATGTTTAAATATCCAAATGGCTCTTGGTAGGAAAAAGATTCCCCACCTCTGTGCAGACTGTATGGCATTAGTGTAGGTTACTGGAGTGTGTTCCCCTTAACTTCGGTTAACTTTTATTACCCAGTAGCATCCTCCCTCAAACCAGAGGGCTGATGCTGAGCTCCAGGTGTGGTAGGCAGGCTTCACTCCAGGTGTGAGGGAGGGGGGTGGCAGTAGTTTCCAATAAGAAGGTTTAATTTCTTTCTTTTTTTTTTTTTTTTAAATTTGTAAGCACCTTTCCATTGCCAGATCGTTACTCAGTGAAGTCTTCTTTTAGTATGTTCAAAATGGAAGATTTAGAGTCTCTAGAAAGGTTTTCTTTGGTTTTGGGCTGGATTCCATTGCAGCTACACCTTTAGCCAAACAGGCATGGGAATGAAAGTTATGGGAGGAGTGGATCCCAGCCTTTTGAATCCTTAGGCACTTGTGTTCCATTCCAGTTTCTGCTCTTCCAGCTCCGACCTTGGGCCTCTCCAGAGTGCCACCAGAGGATGGCACATACTTTCATTTAGGACTTTTATGTTTATTCTTGGGTTGGGCTACTTTTGCTTTTGTTTGTTTCTCAGCTCTGAATAGATTTATTACCTTTTTTCTCCTATCACTTCAGTAAGGTAACTGGAAAGGAAGAGGCAAGCACATGTGCCTAGTCTATCATTTTGAAATGCTGAGCAGAGGTTCTTTTGACAAGTTTGAGTATTTGTGATTTTAAGAACTGAAACAAGATTATTTAATGAATGTATTATTGTTTCACAAGTATTTATAGAATAGTTTGGAATGCTTATAGAAAGTGAAGTTATTGTAATGTTGAAATACATCATCTATGTATGACTAACTTGTATTTTTAAAACAGTTATAAAGCTTTTTAGAGCAAGGACAGCCATAGATATCCCAAATACCTAGGCAGGAGAGGATTGTGGTGCAGTTCCAGGCATTGCCATTAGCTAGTAGTAATTTATAATTGGGGCCAGAAACAAGGTAACTCTCGCTCATTTGATGTTTACATTCTTGAATTGTTTCTCATGTAACATTTGCTAATTTTAGGTCATCTTCCTTGATGTAATCTCTCTCTTTCTCCCCCCCCCCCCCCCCCCCGTCCCTCTGTTTCTCTATCTATCTATCTATCTATCTATCTATCTATCTGTATATGTGTGTGTGTGTGAGTGTGTGTGTGTGTGTGATTACTGGCCAGGCCTAGGGAACCTAAGAATTTTGTGCACCGGGCCTCTAGTATTAAGATAAACCTCTACTACAGGTGGTTTACTAAAAAAAAGGACTGGTGGCCCTATAGTTAGATTTAGGTTGCAATTTGTGTTTATTTTAGTGAATGATAAAAGAATAATTTGCCATGTCTGTACTTCTAATAGAGTGAAAATGAATCTGTATGCAACATTATTTTTATTTCTTAATACGTTTTGGGAAAGTTAATTGCCACTGTATGGTTCAGGGATTTAGTGCAAGAAGAAGAACAGTTGATGGAAGAAAAGAAAAAGAAAAAAGACGACAAGAAAAAGAAGGAAGCTGCTCAAAAGAAGGTAGTATATGTATAAACTTTATATTAAGCAGTTTAAACAAATTTAAAGATAAAATTATTTTTATTGATTTTTTAAAAGCATTTGACTTAATGTTTTAACTTCAGAGGAGTTTCATTTTAACCTTTAATGTCTTTGACTCTGCATGTATAGTAACTTGCCAATGCATACAATTTAACATATAGTTATTTAATCTTGCCAATAGTTTTTTTCAAAGGTAAGTGCTTTATAAGGTCTTTATCCTCCTATTAGCTGTTGCTAGGTTTTCATAGTCCATCATTTTGTAAGTGAGAAGAGCATGGAATTGGTAGTAGCTGCATAGAGGGGGTTTGAAAGCTGGCTCTCCCATATAGCATGCAGGACAGTATGGCTTTATACTTTATTTAGCTCCTCTGGGCCTCAAGTTTTCTTAAGTTTTGTAAAATGAGAATTAAATGAGATAGTGTAATACATACACAATTGAAAATAAAATAATACATGAATATAGTAATAAGGGAAACAATGCACATAATAGGAAATAAAGCACCGATTTATTTTTTACTTTTTATTTATTACCTGGACTGATTTTTTTAAATTTGCAGTTTATATTATGATATTTTAGATAAATCTAAGATAATTTGCTGCAAAAGCTCTCTAGCCAATACATCATCAGAAACTAATCAAAGCATACAAATTACAAAAAATAAAAGATTATATTCATAATTACAAACTTTTACAAATTAATACTTTAGACTTATGACAGTTAACTGAGCTGGGAATTGAACTGTGTGACCTCCTGGTTCATAGGTCGATGCTCAACCACAGAGCCATAACAACCATATCTTTACATTATTTAATAGGGAAAAACATAGGATACAATACTATGGCAGATAAGGAACTGTTGAAGCATGGAGAGAAAGAGCTTAACTGAGCCTGAAACAGGGCAGGGGGCAAGGGAATTTTTTTGGAATAGAAATTAGCCAAGTCAAGGAGGAGCAGAATACAAAAGGATTCCAAGCAGACTAACTTGAGAAGAAAGGTCCATAGCCTCCTGGTAAACTATGGGTTTAAATGGGGAGGGAGCCAAGGGTAGAAGTGTCAAGTGATGAAACGAGGGGTGGGAGGGTTGTGGTAGCTATCAGCTCTTTAGAGGTTTGGGCCTTTGAGTCTACCTTGGCAGATTGTAGAATTGAATTGTAAAGGGTCGAAACTAGAAGCTGATATACTGGTGAAGGGACTATTAAAAAAAATCCACAGAAATTTTTGAAAGGATATGAAGGGCAAGGAACCTAGATTGACTCTTAGGTTCCAGATTGAGTGGCTAAGTACATTTTGGGAGCAGTTAACCATGTTAGGCACACAGAACTGGTCATCCAGGAACGTTGATGAGCTGTGGGAATTTAACTCTTGTTTATATCAATTAGCCTATGGTGAACTGGTTTCACTTTACTGCTTTCCCTGGAGTTCCCAGAACCTTTCCAGGACATTAAGTGAGGATTTTCTGTAACCGGGGAAGGGCCATGGAGGAGGATAAGGTTAGGATGATAGGTGACTCCTATCATTGGCCTTTGGTTGCTCTCAGGAGTGACTATTGTCATAGTTAGGGTTTGGAATGGGTTTCTAGTTCAGGTATCCCTGCTTTTTGAAAGTTCATGTTATACCACTTTGCTTTTATGAAGACCTACATTTAATATTGTAGAGTTTTGGCCTTGAATTTGATGATGCCATAGGCCCCTGCCAGAGACCTGTGATGTAGGATGGTCTTTGCAATCTGATGAGTCTTTGCTCAGGGTTTGTTGTGTCCTTTCTAAGTAAGATTGGGGGAAGATTTTTCAGACTCTTTTTGATGGTCTGAAAGCCATTTACTTAATGAAAAGAACTTGTAAGAAACAATAGATGTGTTGAGGAAGATTTATTTATTGATGTTGAATCACTAGTTTAGCAAGCACCTGAGATCCCTGCTTCTAAGGAATCTTAAGATTTAGCTGGTAAGTCAGGCTGTATGTGAAATGGTTAGAAAAGAGGCCTGAGGCATGTTTATTTGTCTATTCACTCGCTTCAGCGAGGAAATTCTTTCACTGGAATTTCTTTGAATGTTGTGTTTGTAATATATGTAATGTGAGTATAGTTTTAAGTTGTAACATACAAATTATGACTCTAGTTGTTAAAGTGTCCATTTTTTCATATCCAGTCTGTAAATCACCTGTGTCTTTAACGCGTAAATGATGATTTTTGTGCCATTTGGCTTCTTACCAGATCTGAAGTAATAGCTTTCATCCCTGCCTCACTGTATGGTTCTAGTCTCCCATCTCAACCAAGTCCTACTACAACCATCACCAGAGGCTTCATATGAGTGTTTCAGAGTGTTTCCTTCTTTGGCATTGGTGGGGTATTGACAGTCATGTCTTGTCACTGAACACAGTGTAAGGGAAAGGCGAAGACCTCTCCTGTTCAGTTTAGTAGGCTACACTGCCACTATAGTGAGGCTTTCTCAAATTCCAAATAACCAGCTTACAACTGAATTTAAATACAACCTGTTGGTGAAGTGAGGACAGCTGGTATTTCTATAGGCTGTTACTAAGTAAATAGAAAAAAAACAAAGCAAAACAAAAATCCTCAAAGGGATACACTTAAAGCCCATATGAAAGATTGTGAGTCATATGAGTTTCTGGACAAGTTTCTTCAAGCTTGTCGTTGTAGGAGTAAGCAGGCGTACCCAAGTAAGTGACAGACATCTACATAAACCAGGTAGGCGGGCCCATTCTATAAATGTTGGAATTCACTAAAGGAAAAGCAGTTTGCCTATTTCATGCAATCTGTGTACACTTAAAATTTTTTTTTTTAATTTCATTTCTGAAAAAGACTTCAGATACTATATGTTCTAATCCACTCTTTATATATAAGGAACTCAGGCATTAAAATTAGTTAAGTGGCTGCCATGGTTTCATCGGGGTGATAAAAATAGGGAAGCAATTGAAATCTTCTACTTGCTCAGCTGGTGCTTTTCCAGAACTAGGTACCATGGCTTTATTCTTCGATACAGAACCTTCTTACACGTTTTGCCTTATTTTCACAATCTAAAGGTAAACTTTAAAGCTGGAAATAATATATTACAGTCATTTTTATAATGCATTTAAAAGGACTTTATGCCACAGATACAGAAAACAAAGTTTCTAGTAGCCATTATAGTCATTTAAAGAAAATTAACTTCAGACCACAGGTTATATTTTTAAATAAAATAAGAGATAACATAACTCCTTATATAAATAATCAGACACCAACAAGGCTCACTACAGTGTTTTTATTATGATGGTTTTTCTTATTTTGTCTATTATATAAATAGAAATTTATTTAAATTCCTCCTTAAAGAAAAATTACACGACTTTTATTATGTTCCAGCCCCAGTACATCATTATGAGTAGAGATAACTTTGTTTAAAAAATTTTTTTTCCCCAAAAGCCTATTTCACATCTAAGAAGTATGACTATTTACTTATCTTCTGATTCTAAGACTTAGGAAATAAGTTGGCATAACATTGAAAATATAGTTCCTATACTTAAAAAGGGGAAGCAGTTGTGTTACCTTATATTTATACCCGGGTTCTGTTCTTAGAAGAAATTTCTAGAAGGAATCTTGACTATGCTGCAAGGAGGAAAAAGAGGTTGAGAAATGAGTTAATTATAGAAGGGATAACTTTAGTATAATCTTTACTTTAAGTTTGTAATTGTAGTTCCTAGAAAACATTTAATTGTTGAGGGCTGGAAGGATGCAACAATACAAATTGGGATCTTATTTTAATTGAGACAGTTTTGTTACTATATTAAAAGCTGAAGGGACTTTTATAGGCTTTATGGATTCAATGAATATAAATGAGACTTCATTCTCTTTTAAAATTTTAGTGTTTATTTTCATGTCTCCCAAAGACTATTTTGTGTGAGACTGGGGATCATATTCAGCAGTGTAAGTAGCAGGGTTGTTTTGTTTTGTTTCTTTTTTCAGTAAGCTAGGTTAAGCATTTCACTCATCTGGGGCATCCCCTTACGGTCCTGCCTCTTATTTTAGCTTCCTACAGTCAGATGCTGCATAATGATGTTTGGGTCAATACTGACTGCATATACAACAGTGGTCCCATAAGATTACACCGGAGCTGAAAATTCCCATCTCCTAGTGACGTGGTTGTAGCATGGTACAGTGCACAAATACCATTGTAGCATGTGGTATAGGTTCATAGTCTAGAAGCTATGGGGGTATAGAACATGTCATCCCTAAATATGTCTCTTTGGCATTAGGATTATTTTAGATTGTTTTATTTTAAGATGCAGCAGATGTGGGAGAAGTTCTGAAAACCAACTAAAGTTACAGACATCTGCATTGTAAGGGAAATCTATATTTGCCGGGGTGTGTGTCTCCCTGCCTGTATGAGGAAGAGGGGATGACCTCATCTCTAGAAACTCTTATCAATGGAGAAGATAATGACAAACCTACATAACCACCTTACCCTGGTTTACTGTGCTATTCCTGGGACCCTCCTTCATCACTGACTCCCTCCAACCCCAGCATCTTCCATGTTTACTGAAGATGGTATTTAAGGTGGTGGGTCCAGTTATTTTGATGAGACCTAGTTTTCCTGGATATTCTCCCATGTATGCAGGAGGTATATGTGTCATTAAACTATTTTGCTTTTCTTCTGTTAATTTGTCATTTATTACAGATGTCTCAGTTAAGAACCCACGGGGTAGAGGAAAAGTTACTTTTCGTCTTCTGCAAAGCAGTAGGTTATACCATACAGCCTAGGTGTGCAATAAGCCATTCCTTCTAGGTTAGCCTTTGTGATCACACATCTATATCACCTCACAACACAGTTCTCAGAATGGATCCCCATTGTTAAGCAGCACCTGACTATTCCCTTTTTCCTTTTTTTTCTTTTTGAACTCATTTTAGTTCAGCGGTCCTCGGTTCTAAACTGGGTGCTACTTGCTAAGAAATTATAGAAAAGTTCCCTTACAAAAAATTATCTTATTTAAAACAAGTGAATTGAACTGTTATTTCCTTATTCTAATACCTGCCATTGTTAAGACATTGTAGATGACTAGAAAGAAAAAAGCAAGACATTGGGGACTGGGAGTCAGGTTATTTGCAAATATGAGAGAAAGGACTGAGCCAGGTGGGGCTGGTAGCAGTGGCTGCTGATAATCTTTTAAATGCCAGACACTGTCCTAAGCACTATATTTGAGTTAAATCATTTTACCCTCATACCACAAAATTCGGTTCCATTTTCTCCTCGTCAGTTAGGAGTGCTTGGATTCCATGACTTAGATTTCTTCACTATATTAATCAGTGTTCTGATGGGCAGACACCTTCAGGTGTTTTCTGTTGCTATTCTCTATAGATGACAGGCAACTGAATGAGATTGGTCATTGTTCAGAAGCAACATGGAGTTGTTCCAAAGGATTGCAGACGAGGTGTCCTTTATGTTGTAAGGTCTAGAGGAGCAGCACTGTATATCTAGGATTTAGTAATGTGGTCATGGTTCTATGTACTGTAACTTACTTTTCTTTGAAAGTAAATTATGGAAGAGTTAAAAAAAAAGATTTTCAACTTGTAAAATACTTTTATGCTAAATTTTTGGCTTTAGAAAGCTATGTATGTTATTGTTTGATGTGACACTTCTATACTTCAAGGTGTTTATACACTGAGTTCTCTCTAATAAGACTCTTTTACTACTGCTAGATTTTTAAAACAGTTTCTCCAGAAATAAATTAAGTGTTCATGCTAATTGGCTCATCTTTTGCCATTGTCTTTCCATCAATTTTTAAAAAATACTTGATCCATATATAGTAAAAGATGGGCCTCCATTATTTGACATATCACTAATGCTCTAAAACTTGGTAAAGCACGTCAAAACCTGGACTGATTCTGGTTCTCCGGGGAGAAAGATAATGTTTGGTGTGTCTTCAATATTAAGGTAATTGCCATATAGTTCTTTACCATATAACTCTATAATGATATGGTTAAAAATTGGTATTTTTGTTAACAGTAATTTTATATGACAAAGCAAATGTGAATTATCCAATCAAACCCATGGCAGGCAGTTAAGAAATACTTCACTTAGAAGTAATTTCTGGTTATTCGTTACAATTCAGTTTTTCCTTGCTTTCCTGCCTGTCCTTGTATCTTTTATTTTTAGGACTCCCATACAATTGGTCTTAATTTTTAAAAAAAAGTTGATTTTTGCTGTGGCCTCTGTGTATCATCAGTTCTCTCTGTTGAGCCACGGTAAGGAATCTGTGTAGTGCCAGAGCCCCTCCCTCTGTGTCACAGACAGGGGAAGTGGGGTTAGGGTTGGCATGGGAAGCAAGGCTCATGTCCATGTGCCTTTACCTTCTGAACATGGATATTTTAATGAATTGTCAGATATGTCAGAAGTGACATGTATTTGAAAATTTTTCCCAATCAAAAATACTCAAAAGATAACTATGTTTAACTGTAATAGCAGCCTAATTATTACTAATTTGCCTAAGTGTTATCTTCAACTTTCAGAAAACTTAAGTTCATTTTTTATCATTTGAAAACAATTTTTTATGCCATTTAAACGTGCAGACCTAATTAGATGCATTAATGGAAAGGTGATGATTATATAAAAATCATTTAAAAATTAAGTGATAAATGCAGTCCCATTTTTTATTGTACATTGTCATAGTGTCTTTGCATTGCATCTACAGAAACATTTTTTTAAATTTTATTAATAAACATTGTATCAGAGACAATTGGGCACGTTTCTGGGGAAAGTATGCTGTCTTTGCATATCTTTTCCAATGTATTTCACCTAAATGACAAATTTCTTATAAAAGTGTATATGTCTTATATAATAGTAATCTATTAACATTTTATCATAACAATCCATTTCTTTCAGTTTCATATTTACATTGTTTTTTATTTGTTTTTATTTTAGGCCACTGAACAAAAAATCAAAGGTACGTTTAAAGCTATTTTATTCTTTTTTATTTTGTTTTTATTCACCTCTCGGGTGGGAGAGAGACACGAATGAAAGAATCAGAAGGGTGGGGGCAGACTTCTTCAGAGGCATCACCTTGGAGTTACCCTTTGGGTTTGGGTTTTATTGGGATGGCTATTCCACTTTTAGAATAAACTGCCTCCGGACCTGTTTTACAGCTGTCTCTGACGACGAACACCACTTCCTAACAAACTTCCTTGGTTTAGTATGTGAGCACAGGTACCTTTGCTTCTGTCTTCCAGCAGAAGTCCGCTCTGGGGCTACCTCTAGGACACACCTCGTTCCGTTTATTTCTTGTTCTCTGTATACACTGTGCCCCACTCCTTCCTGTAGCAGACCTGCCATCCACTTTGTATTATCACTGAAGATAGGAGATTGCTAACCTTATTGTCATTTGTACCAGGCTGAACAGCTCCTAGCAGGCGAAAGACTTAACTTCCTCTCAGATCCTAAATCAGGAATTCTTCATCCTCCCAGGAGTTGATTTACTTGCTAATGAAATGTGTAGGGCTTTCAGCTGCTGAACTTATTAGGCCTAAAGATTCTGAATTTTTACTTTGAGCTGTAGCAAAAGTATGATCTGTGCATTTGGTTGATAAACAGTCAGTATTGCCTATTTTAATTTGAGGTCAGCATTGGTGAAGGTTGCATTTATTAGGTACAGTTGTAGAAGAGGAAACAAAAAATATTTTTAGCTTATATTTTATTGGAGAAAGTGGCAATAAAAGGGCATACCCAAACATGATATATGATATGATGTGATTTGGTTAAAGTAAAAATGTCTGAGTTGTCCTGGAGTCTAGAGGGGTAATAATTAGCTTAACACAGTGGATTAAGGAAGTCCTCCTTGAGGAAGACCTTGAGATTATGACTCTTAAAAGATAAAGGAGCCAGTCCAAAAAAAAAAAGGAATGAAAAGGCAGAGGGATCAGCATGATGAAGGCAAGAGATAGACAACAATGGGATACTATGCATAGTGGTGGAATTTCTAGAACATTAAATACCCAGTGATAAGTGGACAGGTTGGAAGGCTTTCTCTGAAGAGAGAGGTAGGGGTCAGGTAAAAGAGAGCTTCATATCCTGTGTGTACCAAGATGGGACTTTTATAGGCAGCTAGGAGGCACTGAAGAGTTTAAGAGGAGTGACATGGTTGGTGTTTTTTGTTCCATCTTTAAAGCTTTCAATCACCAGTGGAGAGTGTTGGCTGAAAGATGGAGCTGAGAAAAAGGCACTTGGAGAGAGGAGGCAGGTGGACAAGGGAATATTTAGGAGTGATTATAGGGGTGTTGGGAAGTGGCAGAATATAGGCCTGGAGATAGACAGACAAGTGCTTATGCTGGCTAGAGAGTGGAGAGCCAGCAAAGGTTTCTGCATTTAGAGGTCATGGTCATAAGCTGTGCTGTAGGAACATCTCTTTGTCACTAGTGTTCAGCGTCACCAATAAAAGCAGTACCAGAGGGTAGAGAAGGCGTAGAAAAGGTAACGAAGATCTCAGCTGCGGTCTTGGCAGTAGGGGTGGAGGATGGATGACAGATTGTGAGGCATAAACAACAACTGGTGAGATCAGAAGGCTTGAAGGTGATACGTGGCTTTGAACTTGGATGTCAGAATGTTGCAGGGATGTAGAATGATCCTGGGAGGAACAGTTGTCACATTACTTTAGTAGTAATGTGAGCAAATTTTCTTAAAACTCCACTTTCCTCACACCACTCGTAAGTTGTCCCTTGCTCTTTGCTTGAAGACCAGTCTCCTCTGGTTGGCTCTCAAGGCCCTCTTTAATCTGACTTCCCATGGTCTAACCAACCTGCTTCCATCACTCCCTTACACTTTTCAGAGCAGTCTTCTCAGCCAAGGATGCCTTTTAGCCTTTCTAACCATCTCAGAGTTTATCTTTAAATCGATCGCCCCAACTGCCATTCGTTCCTCCTTTTCTGATTTCTTAGGATGCGATGCTGTGTCTTAACTTAGGGGCACTGGGTTACGTTCTCTCTTGGATTTTTGACTGGATATCCCATAGATACTTGTTTCTCCAACATAACCTTTTGGTACCTATTGTTTGCATCCTTTCCAAATATGAGTCATCGTTTTAGATCCATACATCAAATGTGAACAGGTTTGAATCTCCTGAGAATGTCAGGCTTCAGAATGCAGTATGTTGTTTTGCCTGCTCTTTTACTCACTCATCCTTACATTGACAGCAGCTACCTTCATAATTGGTCATGTTTGTTCGGATTCATGCAGGTGTATTGCTGACCTTTGTGCTCTGTGTAATGCCTATATGGTGCTTATTGTTTGGGAATTAGAGATTACTCGCTGGAAACTCGTGGGACAGGTTTGGCCCATAGTTGCTGGTGGTGGTTGCTAAATTCTGTATTTTGGGATAATTTGTGATTTACAGGAAAGTTGAGAAGATACTACAGAGAGTTCCCCATATACACCTCACCCAGTTTTTCAATTATTGACATCTTCCATTTCCGTGGTACATTTGTCAAAACTAAGAAACCGGCAGTGGTACTAACTGAACTCCACACTTGATTTAGATTTCTCCATTTCTTCCATTAACGTCTTTCTGTTCTGGGATCCAATACAAGATGCATGACACATGTAGTTGTCATGTTTTCCCAGACTTCTCTGGTCTCCATAGAGTTTGTATTATTATCCTTTACATTTTTTATTGCCAGCAATAAAAAAACAGAAGACACTCCCCCCCATCCAAAATTGCAGTTTTTACTGTCAGCATCATTTTTTTGACTTTCTGTATTAGAAAGTCTATATAAAGCCCAAGGTTAGTCACATGTGGCTACTGAGTCCTTGAAATGTGGCTGAGGAGCAGAATTTTAATTTTATTGGTCTGCATAGCTCTAGAGCCTTCTTGATAGTTGAGAGTCAAACTGAGCGTTACTAGTTAGCTGCAGCACCCCTGTGGGATTCTGCGGTAATGAGTTGGTTCTTCCCAAGGCTGCTGCCATTTTCAGTTAAGTAACACCCACTGATGTTGCTGCCGCTCAGTGGTTCAGCTGTTTATATGAAAGTTGGATTTTTGTCAAGCGTCCTAAATTAAATTCTTGACCAGCTTTCTTATGTGTAGATAACTAGATGTTTATTTCTTGGTGCAATGAATACATGATTCACCTAATAAAAACATGGACTAATATGAGTGGCAATGAAATTCTTAAACGTTTTATTTTTACCTTGTAGAAAACGGTAAAGAGTATGAATAGTTGAATGTTTGACTATTTGAAATATTTAAATATATATATATATATATTATGGTCCTGGCCGTGTAGCTCAGTTTTTAGAGAGTCTTCCCGATGTGCCAAGGTTGCCAGGTTCAATCCCTAGTCAGGGCACATACAAGAATCAAATAATTAATTCATAAATAAGTGGAACAACAAATCCATGTTTTCCCCATTGCTCCCTCATTCCCTCTCTCTCTCTCTCTCTCCCACCTCTCAAATCAATAAATAACAAGTTTTAAAAATTGTATATTATGATTATTTCCTTGAAACAGCAGGGGAGTGAAGTGTTGAAAAATTTATAGTGGAGGTATAGGAATAGATGGATAAACTTATAACATGCCCTCTGGCCTTTATCATGTAGGACACATGCCTTGGTTGTGGGCTCAATACCCAGCAGGGGGCGTGCAAGAGACAGCCAGCACTGATTCTCTTTCATCATTGATGTTTCTCTCTCTCTCCCTCCCCCTCTCCATCTGAAATTAAAAAAGGAGTAATCCTTTCTATTGAATTTTGGGGAATGTTTGGGATCCAGAGAGGAGCCACAGCAGCAGGCTGGGAATTCAGACTGTCCTTGGAAACCTGGGGAAGAATAAAGGTCATTTAAAAACAAACCAACAGGTTTTTAGTTCTTATTTTGGAAGCATGCTGGTTGTACATTCCTTACAAAAGAACACACACTGCTGCCTCTGCTGGCGTGGCTCAGCTGGTTATAGTGTAGTCCCATGCACCAAAAGGTGGCGGGTTCCATTCCCAGTCAGGGCAGGGAATGCCCAGGTTGTGGGTTGAATCTCCCAGTCTATTTTTTTCTCTCTCCCGCCCTTTCTTCTTCTAAACATACATGCAGATCTATGTAAAAAGAAAATACACTGATAATTTTTAACAGCTAATATTTAGTTGTCTATCTCTCTACCTATGAATCTATCATTCCAGTGCTTTCTTTAGGTGACTTCATAAGCAAGCTATATTTCAGGGACTAACAAACTCAGAGCCCCTGAAAGGAGGAGAGGGGAACCTGGGATGGAAGAAGGAATAGAGGAAAATAGATTTGTTTTGTTTTCTGGTGGTCACATGGGGAAGCATAGTTTATTACTGCTGTTTTCATTCTGCATTAAAAACTCATGAAAATTGAATCAATATTTAAAACACATTTTTGTTTCTGCTACAGTTGGAAACCATTATTCTTACTCAATTCTACCCTTACAATTTTTTAAAATCACTCAATCCTATTGCTCAAAACTGTTGATCTAGGAAGTGATCAAAATACATGTCAAATCATTTTGGAGACATCCTGACATCTAACTGCGTATTTACTGTGTGCATTTCACTGTGCTTTATTTATATACTCCATTTAGTTAAGGAAAATATTCTAAAAATTTAATTACTAATAACAAATGGGCCCTGGCCGGTGGTTGGTTGGTTGGTTGGTTGGTTGGAGCATCATCCTGTGCACCAAAAGGTAGCGGGTTTGAATCCTGGTCAGGGCACATTGTTTTTCTTTTGCTTCTCTCTTCTCCTCCCTTCCTTTGCCCTCCCCTCTCTTCTTCCCCCGACCCCCTTTTTCTCTCTAAAATAAATTTTAAAACATTAAAAATAGTAAACAAATGGGTACCATTGATTCAGAATATGTACTGGAACAGGGTCCTACAGTTAATTTCTTAAGAGTAATCCTTTTTGTCTTAGCTGGTTTGGCTCAGTGGATAGAGTGTCGACCTGTGGATTG